TTCTTACTTGTCCTAAAGAAACAAATAATATTACTAATACTATCAGTTCTTACTTGTCCTAAAGAAACAAATAATATTACTAATATTATCAGTTCTTACTTGTCCTAAAGAAACAAGTCGTAAAACTGTAACAGTTCATACCTCTACTAAATAAACAAGTCTTACTTAACACTAACAGGTCTAACCTCTCCTAAAAAAACGAGTCTTAACACTGTAACAGTTCCTACTTTTCCTGAAGGAACAAATCGTAACACTATAACAGATCTTACCTCTCCTAAATAAACAAATCCATGTTTTCTTGCTAATTCTTTGGCAACATTTGGACCTCCTTCGACGTGAATAACAAACTGATCCGTATACGGTCCATCTTTCGCCTCCACTTTCAGTAGCTCCATAGATATGAAGAATGTAATTAAACATACTACTAGATGTAGTTCTGTGAAGTTAATACTTAACATTCTAATTGTTCGACGTTGGTAAAACTTCTACTATGTCAGTAAAGAACACAAGCCAAACTGAAGAAATATCAAATTTTACAACTTAAGTACTACAACTACTACCCGCCAATATAGCTATTAGTACGAAACAACTTATTAGTATTATCGATTAACTTTTGAAATTAGTTAGACTGTGCGTTGGCATCACATTAAAATTCTTTCTGTATAAGGTAGAAAAACAAGGACAGTGATAAAAATCCCTCTTTTATCCCAGTTCTTGAAGAATTGTGAAATCATCTAAACGACTTCCACGAAATTTCTCCAACAACCGAAAGGCTACTTCCCCCTTACTGCTTTACGAGCATACAAAAGTAATCTCGTAAAACGTCCCACAAACAGCATAGCTACATCTACACAGCGACGATTGCGCCACATGGCGTCAGTGCTTTTAAATAAAAGAAATATTAATTTTTTTTTACAATCAATCTTTTCATATTACCAGTTACAGCTTTTACAGTAAGTAATAATTTGTTTTTATAACTGTAAAACATGTAACTTGTAATACAATATAACTAAGTAAGTAAACTCAAAACGAAACTATTAATCAATCTGTTTATTGGGCTACTTTTTGGCAGCTAGACCCACTTTAGGCACTAAACGTCCTTATTTTGTTTAATGACAAAAATATCACTTTACAACAAACTGCATTATTACGAAAACGTACTGACAATGCTAATCCTAATTCAAGTTTTTTTATTTCTTAGTGTTGCGGTACTTGATTGTCTGACTTCTATATGTTTCAAATACAAGTTTCAGATGTCCGCAGCCATGTGTTGCTGCACATAACATAAAAATCGTGGCAAGAACTAAAGTAATGTTACTGAAAAGCAAGACGATTAATAAAAACAGACGTAGATGGTTCGGTAACACGGCTGTTTAGCATAACGGTATGCCCGGCATGGCCCCAGGTGTTTGGGCACTTGACTCGTAATCTGAGGGTCGCGGGTTCGACTCCTCTTCCCTCCAAACATACCCGCCCTTTTATCCTTTGGGGCAATATAATGTGATGGTCAATCCCACTATTCGTTGGAAAACAGTAGCCCAAATTGGCGATGACTAGCTGCCTTCCCTCTAGTCTTTCACTGCTAAATTAGGGATGGCTATTGCAGATAGCCCTCGTGTAGCTTTGCGTGAAATTCAAACCAAAGCATAACGGTGGCTTTCACATAGTGTTGTAACTAAAGGCATTGTATTTTTATTTTAGATGACGAGGAACCCACTTTGAGACTAATAATGGTTGGAGACGGCTTGAATGGGTAATGATGAAATCTTTAATATAAGTTTAACACAACAGCAAATGTACAACGTTTCGACAAGGTTTTGTCATCATCAGGTACAAGTGCAAGGTACATTTGCTGCCATGTTAAACTTATATTAAAATTTTTCTTTATTACCCATTTAAGCCGTCTCCAGCCATTGTTCATTCAGGTTGTTATATTACATAAACAATTCAACGTGAAAGCAACTACTCATGTAGGCCTAATATTCGTTTCGACAAGGTTTTGTCATCATCAGGTACAAGTAATTTACACTGACAGGGTGCCAAGATACTCTAAGTTTTGCAACAGCATCCGGTCATGTGACCTCTTTGTTCAATACTATTATATATATATATCCGTGTTTCACATCTTTTATCTAGCATGTCCACATTATTGAGAACTACAAAATTAATAGATGAACTTCAGTGGTTCCAACCTGTGAGGTGTGGCCCTCAGGGGGCACAGGAAATTTTAGAATATTCTTTAAATAAACCAATGTTTTGAAACGAGAACCAAAACTCATTACAACTTTTGTAGGTGATCATGTGTGCCAACTTCTTAACCAGACTTTAAAAAAACTAGTCACTTGAGGTAACAAATGTTTTATGTTAGTCAATAAATGAAGTGAGAAATGTGATATAGATTATCTGCATACTTATTTCATGTTTCCATTGCTAAAGAAGAAAAGGGTGAATTTTCTTTTCATAACACAAGCCCAAAAATAAACCCAACCGTATTGAGAAAAGGATGAATTTCCTTTTCATAACACAAGCCTAAAAATAAACCGAACCGTACTGAGAAAATGGTGAATTTCCTTTTCATAACAAGCCTAAAAATAAACCCAACCGTACTGAGAAAAGGGTGAATTTCCTTTTCATAACACAAGCCTAAAAATAAACCCAACCGTACTGAGAAAATGGTGAATTTCCTTTTCATAACACAAGCCTAAAAATAAACCCAACCATATTGAGTTTGGTAAGTTTAGAATAATTTTACAAACAACTTTACATTTTTTTGGGGGATTTATTACAGATAAATATCCCTTTTGTTGGTGTTCATAAAAATTGAGCAAAATATGCAAGTTAGATTTAGGGAGGGGGGGGGACATAACATGAGAAAAAATGGTTATATTTAAGAGAGAAAAGTTTAGGAATCACTTGGGTATTTCAGAGCCATCTATTGGTTCCCACTTCTTTAATACTCACATGAATTGAATAATAATATTTTTGTGGGTGTCTTAGAGCTTCCCTGTTTTTCTGCACACTCTAATATTTAGATGATTAGTAAACATTCCCAATAATGTTTTTTTGGCCATTTTGTTGTTCATTTTATTTGCCCAATACATAAAAGCCTTCTGGTTTATTATTCGTGTTTTACATTCATACACAATTAAGCCTTTTTTTAGGGGTGTGTGTGTGTGTGTGTTTACATCTCTTTATAAATAGGATTTACAGGAATCTTGTATCTAAAAAAAACCCTAACTATAGCCGTAGTGGATTAAAACATAATTGTTATCAGTTTGTTTTTATAATTCTGTTGTATTAAAAGCTATAATTATCTACCAGTGAATGATGTAAATAAAGAAACCAAATCAGTATTTCTTTGTTTTTTTTATAGAATATATATTTCATAGTTTTATCTTAATAACTACCTACACATTACATCAGATTCACTAATAAATTATGAAAACTAATATTTAGTTCACAATCCTCATTATTTAAAAGTTTTTAACACGATTCCATAACTTGTAAAATAGAAGATGTAGAGGAATGCTCTCACTGTCCAGACTTAAGTTATTAAGTTATTACAGACTTAAGTTAAGCACAGATTCACTTTCTAGGGCTATTACAGACTTATGTTAAGCACAGATTCACTTTCTACGGTTATTACAGACTTAAGTTAAGCACAGATTCACTTTCTAGGGTTATTACAGACTTAAGTTAAGCACAGATTCACTTTCTAGGGTTATTACAGACTTAAGTTAAGCACAGATTCACTTTCTAGGGCTATTACAGACTTATGTTTAGCACAGATTCACTTTCTACGGTTATTACAGACTTAAGTTAAGCACAGATTCACTTTCTAGGGTTATTACAGACTTAAGTTAAGCACAGATTCACTTTCTAGGGTTATTACAGACTTAAGTTAAGCACAGATTCACTTTCTAGGGCTATTACAGACTTATGTTAAGCACAGATTCACTTTCTACGGTTATTATAGACTTATGTTAAGCACAGATAAAACTTGAATATAAAGGGACCAAACTCATAGTTCCTTATCAGTTTTTGAATTGAATTAGCTATTTCAAAAATACATCAAAACTTTAAGTGAAATTCAGGCTATTACCATCAAATCATTAATCTTCATCTTATGGCAGTAAGTTTATAAGTAACCGATCTTTAGTTTCATAGTTCTCTACCATTCCACACGGTGTCACTACCACAAAAATAAAAAAAGGCAACAAGCATCATCTGGGCTTTTCAAAGATGTCATCCAATAGAAATGGCACACATTTTGATACAAACTAACTAAAATTATACAAATTCATAAAATATCATTTGTAATAACAGTGTGTGAAGATAACACAGACAACAGTTCATATCACATTAAGAAAGGCACTGGATATAGAGGGCGAGTACACGTAAAAAAAAAGAACACAAGAACAATGGTCTATCAAAGAAATAATTTTGTATAAAAACCCACTAGTTTTAAGAATAGTTATTACAATCATTTTGAGAAAATAAAGTGAGAAAAAAGAATGAAGAAAGTAACCTATGACAGAAGTTTTCTGTACAGGCCCTTCTTTACGTTGTTTCATTCCATCCAGAAATTGTCATAAATTCTGTACAAATTTCAGACTGCGAAACTATCAAACACAGAAATTATTATCGTTTCCCATAAATTTATTTACGTACATTTTATCCAATACTATGTCAATTTCAAATGGATTTCAACATGTGCTCCACGTTTAAAATTGATACGAACAATAGTTTTGTTACAAAAACATTTAAAACATGATTATCACAGCAATACAAACTAAAGTTACCACACCATTACAAGTGTTAAATGGTAAGTACTTGTTGCTGCTACGAACACACATTTCACCTTGTCCACTAATACGTACGTCATCTGTTCGAGATCCTAAAACATCAGTCAATTCTTGTAAAAGCACTGTACAATGGAAAACCGAAATACTGATCACACACTTGTGTAGTCATATAACCAAAAAGTTAAACAACTTACATGCCTGACTAGTAAAGTCTACTTTTTATAATCATCAATTTATTACAAAAGGTTTCAATAATGAGTTTTAAACATTATATTTGAGGAATGAAACCCCCAAGAGGCAGTAGAACAGTCCCTAGAACATACCTAAACTATATCTCACAGGATAATATATACAACAAATTAGATATAAAATGAAGTTCCCATTTACAAAACGACGTATTTTCCATGAAAGTACCGTGTGTTGTAGTCACGTACTAGTGGCTTGTTACTAATTACCTGTAACTAGTATCAACTCAAGTTTGACACGACACTATCTGAGAATGTGCTTAATGTCTTCGTGATTAGATACTTTGTGTATGATTTTACGAGGTAAAGGTTTCTTGTAAAGACCGTTCTGGATCAGGAATTCCTTACTCTGGTGCGGGACAGCACCGTGATCCAACTGAAACTGACACATAGCTTTCAGTGGATGCACCAACAGCTGGAATGAAAAAAATTACAATGCTTGAAAACATGCTTTCAACAGTAATATATAAATTAAAATACAAATCTTAATTGGAAAACTAAAATGGAATAAAATAAAATCAATATAAGCTCATTATTTCTGTAAACAGAAACTCCTTGACAACAGAGAAATGTTAAATAAGTTAAAAAAACATTAATAAAAGTGTTATACAGAGGTTTAATAAGTTATATTACATTATATTGGAGGCCTCAACACATCTGGTCATGCTATGTCATTAGACATTGTAGAAGTGTGTAAACGTTATTTGGTCAGAATCTAATGATTGAAGAAAGGCAGCATTGTAGAAGTGTGTAAATGTTATCTAATGATTGAAGAAAGGCAGCTTCTGACCAAACAGTTTCAAAAATTGATTTATAATTCGAAGGTAAAATGTTTTTGGAAAGCCAGAAAGAAATAAAGAAAGTGGTCACGAAGTGTTCTTTATTTGTCTTTACAGAGCTGGAATATAAACTGTTTCAACTTATTGGTAAGACTTGTTTTCTGCCTGAAACTGCTGTATTGGTAAAGATAACAACAAGTCTAAATGTAGCATTTTATTTACACACACACACATTTTATTTACCTCATGAATCTTTGGTGACTCTTCAAGATAAGAAAGGGTAACTGCAACCGTTTCCACGGTTGATAAACACTCACTTGTTGGCTGCGTACGGATAACATAACTGCTACTATAACCGGGCTGAAGTTGAACCTAAAAGTAAAGTCCATATTGCTTGGATGATATTTTTACATAACGTCATTTTCCTACCATTAAGTTTTATGCTCCAATCTCCAGTTTTTAAATACTCCAAAAACATATACACACATAAAGTACTTACTTATGACTGATTATAATAACACTGAAAAAAAAAACAACTTACTTTTCTTGTTCGACCAACTTTAAGGCACAGTATTCCTCACCAGAAAACATGACACAGTTTAGAACAATGATGTAAGCATCCTAAGGTTAAATCATAACATATACTAACAAAACTTCAATGTGTAGTTCACTTACTTGCCATTTTAAAACCTCATTTTCTTAGAATAATAATCACTTAATAATTAATTAATACTCTTAAAAATTAATAGATTATTATTTTATGACATTTTACTGTTCTGCCACATACTGAATTCATCTTCTAACTTAGGCACGAAATGTGACATAAACACGCTGCTAAAAGTCCACTTGGCAGTTAAACATCACTTCTTTGATAGTCAGCTAAGTATTAAAACTCTGAAATTTTCACTGCATTAATACTATTTTCAAACAATAGATTTATTACAATGACCTAAAACCTGAAAAAATAAAATTATAAGAATTTACAATTTTAAACAAGATTTTTGTATATTTATAAAAACAACAACAAAATGTTCAGTAAAAGTTCTCATGAAGGACTGGATATGGTCTTATTTTTTCTTCTAATAACACAAATTGATCAATATTCTTATAGAAGGAGAGAGTTAATGTAACAACATCGAAAAAAAAGAAACAGTGATAAAAACACTCATTACAAGTTCAACCATAGAAGACAACATTATAAATATTGTAAATAAATACAGGTACAACCAACATAAGTTCAACCATAGAAGACAACATTATAAATATTGTAAATAAATACAGGTACAACCAATATAAATTCAACTGAAGAAGACACCATTATAAATATTGTAAATAAATAAAGGTACAACCAACATAAGTTCAACTATAGAAGACAACATTATAAATATTATAAATAAATACAGGTACAACCAACATAAGTTCAACCATAGAAGACAACATTATAAATATTGTAAATAAATACAGGTACAACCAACATAAGTTCAACTATAGAAGACAACATTATAAATATTGTAAATAAATACAGGTACAACCAACATAAGTTCAACCAAAGAAGACAACATTATAAATATTGTAAATAAATACAGGTACAACCAATATAAATTCAACTGTAGAAGACACCATTATGAATATTCTACATAAATCCTGGTGCAAGCAGCAGAAACTCAACTGGTGAAAATAACATGACTTGTAAACACAGTCTGTTTCTGTTACTTTTTCTATCACTAAATATTTATTGAATTTTATCCTCAAATATTTTGAAGTTCATCTACATAGACACGTCAACCGACCTGTTTAAGACCGTGAAGCTCCTTGCTATTGTAAAAGATCGACCTTGCCTGTGACCAGGTTCCATCAAGAATAACAATGTTGTACGGTGATCCTCTACTCTTAACGGTGGGTAGTTCAGTCAGATCTGTAGCTTTTTCTCCGGGATAGAGAACAAGAGTATCTTGTGATGTCAAAATATCTTGCATGTCATTGTTTCTGTCAATATCAACATAAAATCAATATCTTCAAGTTAATAAACTGTTTCAAAGTTCTAGCCTTAATAAAAAAACGAAGAAAGATTTGTTACCTTTCAGATGAGAATTTTCTACCTTTCCTCACGATACAGTGTCCTTTTGGAAGTGCAACTTCTAAAATAGGAGATGTTCTCAGACATCGTTTTTCCTAAACAATATATATTAAAAATATGGATTACTTTACAGCACAATATTTGTAAAAAAATCTAATAAAATCAACTTCCGTGTAATTCCACATCAAATAAATAAACTTGGTACCAGAGTTTAGTAAATACACGTTTATTATCAAAACATAAGTACATACACAACATTTAAGTTATTACCAAATTCAAACACTTTCTCGATGAGTCAACTGAACATACGTACTAAACATACGACTTACTTTTCAAAACGTATTTTTTATCCCTGGTCTGTTAATAATCCAAATTAATGTAAACTATGCAGCATTTTATCAGTACAAAAATTTAAAAGGAACGGATATTTCTACCATTGCATGGGTGTAATAAGACCCAGGACTGGGTCAAGGCTTCTCAGATTTTTAATTAATTTGTAAAAATAAATATAATTTTTTGTTAAAAATTGTGAATTCAAATAAACCCTACACATAATTTTAAAGAAATAAATATTTATCCAAGTTTGTAGTTATCTAAAGTATACGTGATCTTAAGTACATGCACATAAAGTGTTTAGAATTCAGCACTTATAATACATCCATTCCCCTGAACTGACAATATTAGTAAGAGTGATTGGGAGAACAATACTTGATATAATAATTCACGATTATTTCAAAGTCAAACCATATATTTTATATAATTGATACTTGAAATCGTCAGTACTTGGTGAAACTCTATAATTATACGATTGAGGAAAAACAAGATAACTGTACATTTCACAAACACATCATTTATTCATGACCATTGTTTCACCAGTAAAGGCATCATTGTCTTGTTTTTTCCTCAATTCTGTTAGATATTATATTCCTACTTTCAAATTAAACTTACTTTTGTTAAACATCAAATAATGTATCTGAAAAAATGAAAAAAAAAAAAAAAAAACTCACCTCAGCAGGATGCTGCAAGATAACCACTTTACAACTGACATCTAGTGGTGTGGATGGAAGAAAAGTACACCAGCACACTCTGGAGGGTCGTCTAAAGTGTCAAGAAAAAATAACAACAAATCAAATTAAAATATAAAAAAATATCACAATTCTGTTCATTATAAAATATAAGATGAATAATCTAATCTTCAATGTTTTACTGAACAAAAACAGTCAAATCTGAGTATCTTATAAAAAGATAGATTTGTGGAGTTTACATGTTGAATACAGCATATTAGAATGAATAATAAGCTCTTTGTTGACTGATCTGTCCATTTTAGAAACAGTGCACTGTCCTCTTCTAATACATATCCCATCTCTAAGCCAAAACTTTAACGTATCCCATCTCTAAGACAAAACTTTAACGTATTCCATCTCTAAGACAAAACTTTAACGTATCCCATCTCTAAGCCAAAACTTTAATGTATCCCATCTCTAAGACAAAACTTTAACGTATCCCATCTCTAAGACAAAACTTTAACGTATCCCATCTCTAAGACAAAACTTTAACGTATCCCATCTCTAAGCCAAAACTTTTTTTTACAAAAATGTAAAACAAGAATAATATACAAATGGTAAAAAAAACTATATCGTGTATTCAGTAAACACTTGTTAGTTTTTAATCCAAATTAATGTAGTTTTGTTTAAAATAAGATACTGACAGATACAAAAGATAAAAATAACTGTATCGTGTAATCAGTAAACACTTGTTAGTTTTTAATCCAAATTAATGTAGTTTTGTTTAAAATAAGATACTGATAGGCAACTTTCGTGATATCAAATATTTTATTACATATATGATGTACAAACAAATATATAAGTATATATTTTATGTTTCCCATACTTTAAATTGACATATAATTTAAGGAAAACAAGGGATCTGTTAGTCCATCTAGGCTGTACCATCCATTATATTAAACTTTAAAGTAATTGTTTAATCAACCACTCTGTTAAAAGATAACGCTGTCTTAGCTGAAGATAACTCGTACCTAGTTAAAATATATATCCACCTTCCCTAGTCCTACAATTCTCACCGTTAATAACAAAAAAATGAAGCACCAACACTAACAATCTTAAACACTGCAGTCAGATTGTCCCCAACTCTTGTTTGTTTAAAAGAAAATAATTTCAGAGATATTAACTTATCCTCGTATGATAACCTTTCCATCCCATGTATCATCCCAGTAGCCCACTTCTGAACCCTTTATAACAATTCAATGTCCTTCTGAGTTAAACAGCTCAAGAAAAAACATAGTACTCCAAATGTGGCCTAAACAGTGACATTATAACCTCTTTAGACTTCTGTAGATACAACCTAAAATCCTATTGGCCCTGCCACTAGCAACAGCACACTGCTTGGATGGATTAAGAGACTGATCTACCAGTTAGAAAGTTAAATTAAAATTGTACTTTATATTTTCTTCTATAGCAATTTAAGAAACACTTTAATTTGTATTGGATAATAGATGGATTTCTGTCTTCAAACGTTAGTTTTACGATGTATACATTAGTAGTTTTAAGTTCTGTCTCCAGATGTTAAAGAAATTTTCAAACGGTAAATTTCAAATGATTTGTTGCACTGCAAGTGTAACTCCGTAATTTATGCTGGATGATTCACGGCCTATTTTAGTAGTATTAGCAACGAATAGTAGTATTACTCACTATTACTATTAGCATTAATAATAGACTAGTTCTAACCTGCACTGTACACAGAGACTTCTTTTCATAGGTGGTTCTGCCGAGATTACAGAAAGCTCTAGTAAAGTGTTACACACCTTATCATCTTCATCAAATTGGTCGTTTGCTGCCATTATGTTTAAAAAATTATAATAGTTTTTTCATAACTTATCAATCAACAAAAATACAACAACCCGTTCATTCGTACGTTACTTTTTCTTTCACAGCTTCAATATCCTACACTTCCCCTAAAATGTTTAATACACAGTTTTGCTTGTAGAGGGCAATAAAACAGCTTCTTTTTTATTCATTTAACAGTGAAATAGTTGTTTATTACACTGTCTTTTGTAATTTGACCAATATGTATATATATATATATATAGAGAGAGAGAGACGTGTTATATCTAATTAACACAATAACTAAGTATCACGTGTATTATGGTTAAAGTTATGCAACTTTTTATTATTTGTTATTGGCTATGGATACCTTCCGACGTTTCGGATATACTTAATCCACCTGTGAAAACAATTAAGTCGTAATTTTAATATCAGATATTAAACTTCAAAAACAATTTGTATGTATACAATGAAAAAGAAGAAGCCGGGGAATAGTTATGGGTAAATAGCGTGAAATTAACAATTAGAAAGTCTTAAAAGAAAGGTTTTTGTTGTTTTCCTAATAGAAAGTTACACAATGGGCCATCTGCATTGTGTCCATCACGGGCAATAGCCTGGAATTCAGCATTGTATATTCGTAAACTTACTGCAGATCCACCAGAGAACCTGATTGAAAAAAGCTGACAGTGTGATTAAGAGTAGGTCTATATATGTTGATCAACAATTTATTAAAATATCTATGTTGGATTTGCATGAATTTAGAATTTTTAACTTATCCAAAGTGATATGGTAGTCAGTGTTCTCTTTTTGATTAGAAATGGCGGGTACGCAAACAGATCTGAGAGTGAAGATCCGATACAAAGACAACTTACTACCTTCTGTTTCACATGCATTGAATTAAACATCATTTTGCCGTACGTACACATAAACACTGAAATCGAATTTTCACTATCAAACCCCGCATTTGTTATCAAAAGGAAAACACTGGCCACCATATCACTATAAAGGATTTTAAGTTCAGACAAATACGACATAGAATTATTAATCAAAGAAATGATGTTAATTAACAAAATAAACATCCTACTCCTAATCATGCTACCAGTTCTTTTTTGTACTTGCTCACTTTTTGCTATTTACTCCTTACTATTCCTTTGATATCGTACATTAAACTCATAACTTAATCGTTTTCACAGAAAACTCCTGAAGATGAATTATGTATAATCTGAAAAGTCCGAAATAAAATGTTTATTATCACTATCGTCTTAATTTTCTTTTCGGATTATCGAAACAGAACATTTTATTTTTACAGACTTTGACAGATGAAAAACACTACACCAAACAATATTATTAAAACACAGCAACCTTCATAGTTGTCTTAACTTTAATTTACCCTAATCCTGCATATGAAGAAAAGCTATTTTTAACAGTGCTATTTATCCGTGGTGGGTACAGCACAGATAACCCGTGGTGTAGATTTGTACTTAACAACAAATAAGCTCTGACTTTCAACTACTTTCATAATAAGATTATCAATAAAATATTGTATTAATGTTTTTCTACGTAATAGCTGTACAAGTCCTAACATTTCTTATTTGCATATATTGAGTTTAAAATTAAGACAATCGTTTTTATTTGCCAGAAAAAAAGAGAAAGTTGTTAAAATTTATTTTTTATTTTCTGTATACCATCAGATAAATGTTTCCTTTCTGTGTGAAGACCTCCACTACACACACACAACGTCCCGATAACTCAGTGGCAAGTGTGGGGCTTATAAAGCAAAAAATCGGGTTTCGATACTTGCGTTGGGCACAGCACAGACATCCCATCGTGCAGCTTATGCTTAAAAACAAACGAATTCTATGTGGGGGATGTAATTATATGTGTTGATGTAGTTGGTGTTTTTTACTTAATAACTAACAATTTTCTACAATTTTGAGCGACATCTCTTGGTAGATAAAGTTTTATTTCACATGTGTCTGATTATTGAAAACAATATTACTTTAAAGTTTCAGTTTGTGTTACAATTTTATGAAAAAGAATGAATATGTGGATGTAACACTGACGTAGTGCATCTGGGGCATTCTTTTGATTTTCAATAATTGAGTTATAATCTGAGGAAGCCAATGTGAAAATGGAAAAAGTCAAAGTTAACATTCAGGTAACGTAATTATAAATCAATGCTATCGCTCATTTTCTAACTAATGTAAGGCCTAGACAAGTTGCAATGTTATGGTTGGTCTAGGAATACATAACGTCCCAACTACTACAAAAGTAGATTATAGATGTACAATTTGTACGTTTTAGAAGTAATTTGTACGTTTAAGAAATAGATCTATAGAAACTAATATTTGAAGTTGAACTAGACTAGTTACATTTGTTTCTGATATTTCATGAAAAGGTTAAACAGTTGAAATTGTGAAGATCTGAAAATCTAATCAATTATGCATTCAAAGAAGGAAAAAGGAATTGTTCATTTCATATTTTTTAACTTTTACTGTATTAATCACTATTATATATATTGATGATTTGCTTCAGTTAATGATAGAATACAGAAATTAAGAGATAAAATATAAAGTTTTAGTAAAAACTTTGATATTCAATTTGAAAGTTCTAGAGATTAAATACATGAAAATTGTAAGATAAAAGTAAGTATTTTTATTCTTAACATTAAAATTATCTTTCACTCAGACTCAGTAAAGGCTTTGCAAGTTCACAAAAAACCTTTAATAAAATCCCTTGTGATTTTTATATGCAACAGATTTATAATGTTTACTAAAAGCTTGCTAAATTTGAAGATACACTTAGAACATTCAGAGTTATAGTGGGCAAAATTGGCCACCTTCATACTTAAAAGTTAGAGAGTTAATTGAATTAATCATCCAGTTCTATTGTCTTTGGGAATGAGGTTGAACAACTTAAATTTTTTGTTGAAAAATTTAAATTTTAATTTACATACCTGCATTGCTTTTTAGATTGTGAAGATGAGAAAATCTGTCAGAGAAGCAAAAGTTTTATTGGTCAGAAAACATATTAGACAAGTAAAACAGTTGAAGAATAAAAGGTGCAGTATCATTTGATCGTAGCCTTTATGTTTTTGTAAATGATTAATTAGATAATAATGTTCTACATTGTGTCTGTAGCTTTAAAATGGTGACACTGTGATGTAGTTTATTTTTTATAATTGTACTTTCATGTGATCATTTAAAATTAAAGGAACGTAAAAATTTTGAGTATAGATATTTGAAAAGGGCATTGTATAAAAGGATTGCTGATGTGACTGAAAAAGAGAATAATTTGATTTAATTTTCATTAAAGTTTGTGGCCTATAGTATAGTTTTTTAGCTGTGCTGAAAAAAAAGTTCTGGGTTTGTTACCTGAAAAAGAACATTGAATTGTTTGAAAGGGTTCAGAGGAGGGATACTAGGATGATACCCGGGTTGGAAAGGTTATCGTACAAGGTTTGGTTAAGATCTCTGCAATTGTTTTATGTTGGGAAAAAAAAAGATGAGTTAAAAAGGATCTGATTGAGATGTTACTTACTTAGTGGTGAGAATGGTAGGATAAGAGGATACACCCAAATTTGCTCAGGGTAGGAGTCATCTTCAACTAAGACAGCTTTATATTTCTAATAAGTTAGTTGAACATTGGAATGGTTTACCGTCAGATGTGGTGGATTCAACAAGTTTAAGGGAAGACTCAATAAATATTTGAATGATAAGTGGATGGGATGGACTAACAGGGACCCTTATTGTCTCCAGATTTTTATGGTATGTGTTATTTTATGAAGAAGTTTTATTCCTTTGCTACAGGAAGTGTAGCAATGAAATGGAAAACTTTTAACTGTGGAGAGAGGTGTAAACATTTCTATGAATCACACACAGAGAATTAGATGTTACACTGTGTAAAAAACTTCCTGTTTGGGTTGTAGAAATCAAACGTTGGAAATACAAATTTGCATAAATTAGGGCAGTAAGTGAGAAGGCCAGAATAATGGCAGTAAGTGAGAGTTTAAAAGGCCAGAAGTAGATTTCTTTTTCATCAAAATGATTTTTTTGGTTACAGATACAGTCTTCAGCAATGTTTTGTCTGATAATAGGGTAAAGATTTAAACCTACTATTTGTCTTCAGTAAATTATTAATTCCCCTTTCAAACTCTTTAAAAGTGCCAACCTCCACTACCACCAGTGGCAGCTTGTTTCATAATCAAATCACTTTGTTATAAAATCAAGATCTCCTCCCCACTAGAACCTAGCCTATCTTTTTTCAAACCTTAAGCTTATGTCCTCTCATCTTATTGTCCTCAGAATAGAATTAAAGAAATAAGAAACCCTTAATCTGTTAGTATCCTAGATAATCTTGTAAACTTCAGTAAGAAAATTTCTTACTCTATTCTATCAGTATCCTAGATAATCTTGTAAACTTATTGTCCTCAGAATAAAAGTAAAGAAACCCTTATTCTGTCAGTACCCAAGATAATCTTGTAAACTTCAGTAAGATAATCTCTTACTCTGTTCTATCAGTATCCTAGATAATCTTGTAAACTTCAGTAAGATAATATCTTACTCTGTTCTATCAGTATCCTAGATAATCTTGTAAACTTCAGTAAGATAATATCTTACTCTGTTCTATCAGTATCCTAGATAATCTTGTAAACTTCAGTAAGATAATATCTTACTCTGTTCTATCAGTATCCTAGATAATCTTGTAAACTTCAGTAAGAAAATCTCTTACTCTTTCTTTTTCTCAAAAAAAAAAAGATAATTTACAGAATCATCCTGGTATTCTTCCTCTGGACCATTTGTTATTCTATAAAAACATTAAAAATGTTTGTCATACAATGTTTACAAAATCTGTCAAAGTAACATACAAATGTTAACTTCAGTGTGTATGTGTGTATATGTGTGTGTGAGTGTGATTATATAATGTAATACTTTTTATTGTGTTGCTTATAGCCACTAGATAATATTGATTGTCGATTTGTGTAGAGGCAGTAAAGAAGAACTTGAGAAAAACCAGCGAAAGATCGGTCGTTTGTGTGATGAAATTAATATGATAAAGGTACGATACTTGAAAACCACACAAATATTAACTTTTACTTTATTTCTTATAAAATCTTTTTTTCAGTCCTTTGTAGTTAAATTTATTCATTTATATTTGTTTCAACCCTTAGCCTTCAATTTCACCTCATTATTAAATACGTGAAGTAATAACTCCTGAAGAAAATATCTTCAAGATGTATTTCTGTACTACTTTGCTTCAGTTTGGGTCATTTTATTTATAAAAGGATATTGGAGAGGGTTGAAACAAGAACAACCAGGAATATTCAAGGTTTGAATTAAAATAACCTTGACTTGTTTTTCTCAGGGGTGACATTGTTAACATTGTTTGAGGTTTGGAATCTTAAACAGAAATGATGTCTATGTGAAACACTCTTCAGGTAATAATACTAGCAGAGACAAGTTCTAGAAAACTCTGACTTGACTTCAGTTAGATCGGTGTTGCTCTCCTAAGAGGATTATTAGTCTAAGGAATAGTTTACCTTTAAGCATGTTATAATGTTGAAGGAGCTTAGGTGAAAATAGGTTTAATTTTTTAGAAATTAGATTTGCTACCGAAAAAGTTGTTTTTATGCATAGTTTCAAGTAGGGTAGTAGTAGAAAATGCGATATCTTAGATATTACAAATGGCTGTTTATTACCCCCTCAAACTTACATGAAAACTAAGAATTGCTAATGCAGATTGCGTGAAATATTTTGGTTTTTACTGATATATATAAATCATTTTTATTAGTTTATAATAGATTAACAAATCATACTAGGATGAGACAGTGTGGTGTTTTGTTAGCACAACTAGGTTGATGATAGGATATTCCAAAATTAAGCTGTACATAACTTCTAATGTTTTTTATTGTTGGAATAATCACCTTTTATAGTCTTTCACACTGATAGGCCCCCCAGTGGTATGTCTGCGGACTTACAACGCTGGAATCTGGGTTTCGATACCCGTGGTGGGCAGAGCACAGATAGTGCATTGTGTAGCTTTGTGCATAATTACAAACAAACTAACACACTGATAGTTTATGTTCATGTTTTCAATTGATGGAATGAAGATTGGAAGGTTAAGACATTTATTATCAATGTTGTAATGACGTGGTGTTGAATTAAATACTTTTTTTTATAGAACCTGTTAAACCTAACAAAGAGTAATTGTTTTATTTTAAGTTGATGTTATGTTAGTGCTCATATTTACTAAAGTTTGGCTCCATATTAATGATTTCATGTTGTTTTGTATAAAAAAATACTTTATTTAAGAATTTAGTTTATAGTTTTATAGTTGCATTTGAGCAGGGTAATTTAATTTGTAAAAATATGAGTTTTTTATTTTGTAGCGTAAACCAATTGATGACATATCAAGACAAGCTCTTGCCAGAGATGAATCTTGGGATGAAATCTGGAAACAGGTAACTTTAAAACTACGTCTAATATACTTCTAGTTTAAATATTAACTTGATTAGTTTCAACATTTATTTGACTAGTTTCAGTGTTCACATGGATGGTTTAGTATTTATTTGACTAGTTTCAATGTTCACATGGGTGGTTTAACATTTATTTGACTAGTTTCAATGTTCACATGGCTTGTTTAACATTTATTTGACTAGTTTCAGTGTTCACATAGCTGGTTTAGTATTTATTTCACTAGTTTCAGTGTTCACATTGCTGGTTTAACATTTTTTTGACTAGTTTCAGTGTTCATATAGCTGGTTTAACATTTATTTGACTAGTTTCAGTGTTCACATGGCTTGTTCAACATTTATGTGACTAGTTTCAGTGTTCACATGGCTGGTTTAGTATTTATTTGACTACTTCTAAAGTCATTGTGGTGTGTTTGTTGAACTTTTTCATCAGATAACATCTGGAAAGAGGTTTGATTCATTTTCTTTAGAACCATGCAATATAAAACTTCTGGAAATTGTTTTCTTTAGAACCATGCAATATAAAACTTCTGGAAATTGTTTTCGTACTGGAGCTTTATTTGCTTATTTATAAAGTTTCCTGTTATTCAAGAAGAAAATAGAATTACAGTTATGATGATGAACAAACTATCTGTTTATTCAACTAAAGAACACGTGTTTTAATATCTTATGCCAAATTACCATAACTTTAAAAGCAATGCTTATCATAAGGCATGAAAATACATTACCCTCATTGGCCTCGTAACTTTGGTAAGAACTGAATACAAGTACCGTTACTTTGGTAAGAACTGAATACAAGTACCGTTACTTTGGTAAGAGCTGAATACAAGTACCGTTACTTTGGTAAGAACTGAATACAAGTACCGTTACTTTGGTAAGTGCTGAATACAAGTACCGTTACTTTGGTAAGTGCTGAATACAAATACCGTTACTTTGGTAAAACTGAATACAAGTACCATAACGTTGGTAAGAACTGAATACAAGTAACTTTACAGTTTAGTGTCTACAGAAACCTTTTATGTCTTTCTATTAAACATTGAGAAGTAACAATTGAAAGTGATATCCTTGTGTCATTATGTTTTCAGTAGGCATTAGTAGAGGATTAGTGAAGCTGTTGGAAGCTTCAATTTCTCAGTGTGGTTTGAGGATAAGTGAAGCTGATGGAAACTTCAGTTTCTCAGTGTGGTTTGAGGATTAGTGAAGCTGTTGGAAGTTTCAGTCCCTCGGTGTGGTTTGAGGATAAGCTGTTGGAAGCTCCAGTTCTTCTGTGTGATTTGAGGATTAGTGAAGCTGTTGGAAGCTCCAGTTCTTCTGTGTGATTTGAGGATTAGTGAAGCTGTTGGAAGCTCCAGTTCTTCTGTGTGATTTGAGGATTAGTGAAGCTGTTGGAAGCTTCTGTTCTTCTGTGTGATTTGAGGATTAGTGAAGCTGTTGGAAGCTTCTGTTCTTCTGTCTGGTTTGAGGATTAGTGTTGTAAGTTTCAAATTTTTGAGCATAATTTGTTGAAATCTGAAGATTTATGTATTTGAAGCCTTTTTTCTTATTGTTTGTTGAATTTTGTTTTTGTCTAATAGGTGAATTTTTTCACATAATGCAAAGTGCAGTTTTAAAGCACATGATTTTTTAAATGCAGTTTTAAAGCACATCATCGTTTAAATGTAGTTTTAAAGCACGTGATTGTTTAAATACAGTTTTAAAGCACATGATTGTTTAAATGCAGTTTTAAAGCACGTGATTGTTTAAATACAGTTTTAAAGCACATGATTGTTTAAATGCAGTTTTAAAGCACACGATTGTTTAAATACAGTTTTAAAGCACACGATTGTTTAAATGCAGTTTTAAAGCACACGATTGTTTAAATACAGTTTTAAAGCACATCGTTGTTTAAATGCAGTTTTAAAGCACATCTTCGTTTAAATGTAGTTCTAAAGCACATCATCATTTAAATGTAGTTTTAAAGCACATCATCATTTAAAACATGTCATTGTTTAAATCCAATTTCAAAACATGTCATTGTTTAACCTGGAAATGCTAGATTAGCTCTTAGTATCGTACATACAATTCTACAGTAAAGAATCACTGTTGGTTTTATTATAAAGTCCAGCTTTTGAAGTATTCTGCTATACTTTCAGAAAGAAGGTTCTCTGGAGAAAAGAGTAGAAGCTAGATTGGCTGGTCATCCAAAAGTCCAGAAGTGTGTACAACATTTTCGCAGTAAAAACTCCCAGTGGGAGTCTTGGGTCCCCTCAGTTCTTCAGGTGTGGGAATCGCAACATGTTACGCAGCTGACAGGTGGGAACAAGTCAAAGATAGGGAGAAGAAAAGAAGACCTGAAAGATGAAACTCAACAAAATCATTTGAAGCAAGAAGAAGAAAATGAAGAAAAATTGTTAGCTGACAGTTCTCAACCTTCTAGTGAATATGTTAAATCTCAGGTGAGGAACGTATCATCAGGTTCCTTAGGCTGTACATATAGTGACAGCGAAGATATTGATGAGTCAGACAATAATTCATTACCTGACTGTTCTCAACCTTCTAGTGAAGATGTTAAATCTCAAGTGATGAACGTATCATCAGGTTCCTTAGGCTGTACGTATAGTGACAGCGAAGATATTAATGAGTCAGACAATAATTCATTACCTGACTGTTCTCAACCTTCTAGTGAAGATGTTAAATCTCAGGTGATGAACGTATCATCAGGTTCCTTAGGCTGTACGTATAGTGACAGCGAAGATATTGATGAGTCAGACAGTAATTCAGGAACCAAGTTAAGTTTACAAAAAAAAAACAGAGAAGAAAATAAACAACAAAAACATCCCAAACTTAGACTACAATACAAAGAAGGGAACAGTCAATCTAAGCATACAGAAAGCACTAAAAATAAAAGTAACGTGAATAATGCAAAACACAAGAAGAAAACTGATTCCACGGATAGTGGTGAGTGCGTAGATAAAGCCAAAACAGAAAATGTGGAAGTGGCAGAGTGTAATATTGAGCATTTATTAAATACTAAACGGAAGCTAAAAACTGTAATCAGTTTAGATGAGACAAAAAATGAAGATGAGAATGTTGAACGAGAAAGTAATCCAAAAATCAGACGGAAACTTATTAAAGCAAAGGACTTGAGAAAAGCTCGCTCTAAGAGCAGGAGTAAGAAGAAGAAGACAGAAAGAGTTGGACTTAAACCTTATGAGGTTAAGAGGTCGTGTGTAAAAATTTTACCTAAATGTGAAGGAAGCTTAACTATTGCACCAGTTAATTTAGATGAACTCCAAGATCACGAAGAAATAGTTTTCAAGAAATCAAAAGAAGCAGAAGATATCAATACAGAAAGAGAAAAAACACATGATGATCATGAAGGTACACACCATGATGCATTTTTTCTTGGAGGAGTAGAAGAGATGGAAGAAGTGACATCTGATAATGAAACAAGGAACTATGAACATCCAATGAACCAAAACTTTAAATCTAATTTTATTTCTAGTCTCTCAGGAGATAAAGAAAGAAATAGAATGTTTGAGAAACAAAGAGGTTTCAGGAGGGGTCGTGGTTTTGGTAGTTTGAGAGGAACCAGTCAGGCAGTACCAGCAAGGTCGACTCTCCAGCACAGAGGAAGGTGGGTCCTGCTCCATGTTACATTATTGAATTCAATACTTCATAATTACTAGCATTGTGAAACTATAGACTTCTCTCACTTTGTCTGTCACAAATAAGTGTTTTGAATTTTCCTCTGGACTGTGGCTTCCGTCAGCAATGAATTTTGTGCCAGCAGAGTTTCTGTCATTTGAAAAATATTGTCAACCCAGAAATACATTAGATATTGATTAGGTGTTGGTTGTGAAAATGTTTTTCAGATCTTGTTTTAAAGTATATTTTTGAAGAGTACTTATTTATTTATTTTAATGTCAACTTAGAACAGTATACTTGTTTACATGAAGTTGTGTAAAGAAAAGCATATTGTGGTTATTTTAAGGTTCGTAATGGATTTTACGAACTTACTGTTGGTTATTATTGATAGTTTGGGAAAGAAAGCTTTGAAAATTTTGTCACCAAACAAAATTTAATTTTTACATGGAAATCCTACAATTATTTCATCTTTTTGTAACTGAATTGTTTCATGAATTTTGTATCTTATTTCTGTTTTAGATTTGTAGAAAGAGAATCAAGTAGAAGAGATGCAAGTAAACAACATCTAGTGAAGAGCAACCTTCCGTCAAAAGTATTCAGTCCTTGGGAGAAATCAAGCATTTCTTATGGAAATAACAGAGAGAAAGGTTAGTTCGACTTATTTAGTAATCTTCTCACAGTCTGACATGGATTAACTACATTTTTAATGTCAAAACCTGACAATTGATGTAGCGGAAATAACAGAGAGAAAGGTTAGTTCGACTTATTTAGTAATCTTCTCACAGTTTGACATGGATTAACTACATTTTTAATGTCAAAACCTGACAATTGATGTAGCGGTAAAATTGTTTACAGTTTCTTCTTTGGATATCGTACTGAGCAACTTGTTTTCACGGACAAATAAATTTTAATCTTATGATTTTTTTTTAGAAGGAACGTGGATTTGGTACATGATTATGTGTAAATAATACTTCTTCTTGTGGTTATGCTCAAAATATTAGGTCTTAACTGCTGTTACTTCAAATTCTAGTATATGCAAGATTTAATTTCAAGTTGTGATTGTGATAAAGTTGATACGATTACGAGAACATCCATTTTATAATTTGGGGTAATATTCTACATGTAACTACTGTGTGGTTAGAGAGTATGTGACTTTCTGCACAAAAACAACCTCTATCAAAGATGACTTTTGTATTATAAATATGTATTTAGAATAGTCAGCAACCACAGTAGCATGTATTCAAGTACATTAAAATAGCATAGACGTGTTTATTATCAATTTTATAAACATGATTTTTTATTTAGTTAACAGTTGACACTGCTTTAAAGCACAAAAGCAGGAGGCATCTATTATGAATGTATTTCTAATATAGATTTTTAATCTATATGTTTTCCTACCATCGTGAATAGAGTTTTCAAAATCACCTTTTCTTACTAAGTTTTTGACTTGTCTTCTATCAGCCACGAGCAAAGTTCCAACAAACCAAGTATTACACCCTTCCTGGGAGGCTAAGATGAAACTGAAGGACAAACAAAATCAACTTGTTGCTTTTCAAGGAAAGAAAATCAAATTTGATGATGAATGAATGATTGTTAGCAGTCTGTAAAGTAAAGCTCTGGACTTCTGGATCATTTAGACACTAAGAACTATAGATTGATCCCTAACAAGAATCAGATAACTTTTTCTCTTGGATTTTAAGTGTTGATCTATCTACGTTTTAGACCTCGACTGTAGAAATGTAATAAATTCAAAAACTTTCTTACCATCTCCTGGATTTTCTTGTGTTTGTCACAAAAACAATTATGAAAATTTTGTAATATCGCAATTATTTGGAACTTACACATTTCTAACTTTGATTTTATTTACTTCATAAAATTGTAACCTGAAGAAGAATTTCAAAAGTTTCTGAACTAACACAATATTTAATCATTCATATCTTGCACAAACTATCAGATCATCTTAAACTTTTTTAGGTTTCATTTCAACTTACATAGTTTTATAGTAGAGAAAACATCCAGGTTTAAAAGAAGTACAATAATTACTCCCAACATTCTAAATGTTCAGTAAATATTTTTATTGTATCTTTGTATATAAAAAATATATCAATGTTGTCACCTTTATGCAAGTGTTTAAACACTCAAGGTTTCTTATTTTGTGCTAAAGTTAAGAACAAAATGAATCCACATTTCAGTATTATATGTATTTCAAAGTTTTGCTTATGCAGACCAAGAAGACATTTCTTAACTTTTAAAACCATAACAAATGCACATTGTATTTATTTTAGGTTTTATAAAGGCAGGTGGTAAGTTCACTAACTGACAACACTAAAATCCAGAGTTTGATTCTCCATGGTGGACACAGTGCAGAAAACTCATTGTTTAGCTTTCTGCTAAAAAATCAAACAAATTTAATGGCACGAGAACCTTGAGAAACAGGTTACTCCAAACCTGCAAGAAAACTTGCAATAGCGAGGGATGCGTGTTCACTAGTGTATGTGGTGCAGGCAGTTGTGGAAGACCAACTTAAAAACAACTTTCCAACTGTCTTGTCAACTATATACAGAATGCAAAAGTAATTACATATGAAATTTTAAAAAGCAGAGAATCTATGGTTCTTTCTGTTGTACATGTTAACAGTAGTAGATAATACAGTTCTTTCTGTTGTACATGTTAACAGTAGTAGATAATACAGTTCTTTCTGTTGTACATGTTAACAGTAGTAGATAATACAGTTCTTTTTGTTGTACATGTTAACAGTAGTAGATAATACAGTTCTTTCTGTTGTACATTTTAAGAATAGTAGATAATACAGTTCATTTCTCTTGAAAAGGATGTGACATTTTAAATTTTAAAACCGGTTGTTTCAAGAAGGGAAACATATTCAGTTTTTAGAGGTCCCTTTCTAGAGCACAATCTTCAGATGGGAAAATAAATCACACTTAAAAATTATTTTTATATAATAGAATTTTTATTAAAATGTGGTTGGTCTTTACTATCTGATCTAAAACTTTGGTTTGTTGAGAAATTGGAACTGTAAAAAAAAAAAGTTAGCGACAGGTTATATATTACTTACTGGCATACTTAAATCAGAATAGTGTAAGAGGCTCCCTATCTTTTGTTTTGGTTTTCTCCTGTTTTTTTTTGAAAGAATAAGAGATGTACCTTAAAGAATGTTCTGCCTATAAAACTTATTATGAGCCAAATGAAGGTTTGTAATTTTGGCACACAAAATCTTTAAAATATATAACGCAACAGAGACTGATGTTAACACCAAGAAAAAAAAAATGTTTTTACAGAGTTCTGATGATTTCTTGTAAGATAGATTCCTGAATCCTCATCAGTTTATTTGTTGCCTAGAGTAAAAGTCAAAATCTGAGGTGGTTGGGGCGCTCAACTCGCAGTCTGCGAGTTTGAATCTCCGTCCCACCAAACATGCTCGCCCTTTCAGCCGTGGAGGCGTTATAATGTGACGGTCAATTCCACTAGTTGTTGGTAAAAGAGTAGCCCAAGAGTTGGCGGTGGTTGGTGATGACAAGCTGCCTTCCCTCTAGTCTTACACTGCTAAATTAGGGACGGCTAGCACAGATAGCCCTCGTGTAGCTTTGTGCGAAATTCAGAAACAAACATTTAGAAGAAGAAAGTACCAAAATGGTTATTAACTTAAATAAGATACCACTGTTGTACTTGTAATAAAATACTATGTTTATATTTATAATAAGATACCATGGTTATATTTATAATAAAATATCGTGGTTATATTTTTTATCCACTTCTAAGAAAGAAAAGTGTAAGCTGTAGTGGTTTTTGTTTGTCAAAAAATAAAAATTGGTATGTAGAAAATCTTCTAAGTACAAATGGAAAGTTATTCTGTTTATAAAATATGAAATGCGTTAATCTTATTGTATAAAAAAGTCAAAATTTGAATGAGATATTTGTGATTTCAAACATAATTATTTGCATGTGTAGAAAGATTTTATTTCGTATAAAGTTTATGAGAGTAATCATAAATTTGTATTACATATTAAACAGAGGAACGTTTTTTAAATCATAACAGATTGTCTGGCTGTATGACTGTGTACATGTTTGTTTCTGTGGTAGTTGATGAAGATGCCACAAGTTTGTGTTACAAGAAATGTCAAAACTCTGTGAACACTTGAATTGTTCCATTGTGTTTATTTCTGATGTTAACCTTTTATAACTTGATTCTTCATCGTAATCACAAGATGATTTGAAGTGTTCGAAGTGCCATGCTACCAAGTGCTAGTTGATTAAACTCTGTTAGCACCAAAGTGGCTTTAAATACTACTCATTAGAGTCAGAATGAGATATCGACATATATTAGTAAATATATCTAAATATCTAAACTGAGGTGACTGGTAAAGTGATAAAAAGTAACACACTGTATTAGGGTAAAGACTTAAAATTTTTGTAACAACTTTTATTAAAGACATGACTTAAGATGTAAATTTTTAACTCTAATCATATAGTTGTAGCTATTTTTGAATTATAAAATTCTTGCACAACAACTTTACACGTTAAACACTACAATTTAAAGTTGCTACAAAAACTATATATTTTTGCTTCATCAGCAATTTTTTGTTATTCTAGAGTGATTTTTAAGAAACAAACATTTGTATAAAATAGGAAGTGACATCTCAGAGACTTCTGGGAAGTTGGAAGAATGAGTAGAAAGATCCTTTCTCTGGGTAGGGTCTTGTGTCTCTACACTAAATCCAAGTATTTATGGTTTTCATCCAATTACCACAAAACTGTGCGCCACTCCTCGGTTCATGGGTGTACTATAAGTCAAACCCCACTGTTCGGTACAATCAGATTAGGGTAGATAATGGCTGGAGACGGCTTAAATGGGTAATGAAGAAAAACTTTAATATAAGTTTAACATG